CAACATAAGCAAATTCGAAGGTTATCCCAACAGCCAATGCCAGTCTGGAATATCGAACATTTTTCTGGTGTCATAACTGAGAATGTTCATGGGCTGAACAAGATAGGACAGCTGTCTGTTGTAGTTGTTCTGAATGTTTGCCAACAGCGGAAAGTAATTTCGGCGTCAATGCGGGCTTCAAGAGTGACGACATTCAGAAATTTTTAGAAAAAGTTAAGAATACACGTCCATTCGAGCTACCGTTTGCTGAATTCGACAAACTGAATGACATATATGGTGATGCCAGTACACATATTACGGCAGGCATTGAATCCCTTCTTGCAAACTTCAGTAAAGATATAAATTTAGATCGACGAATGTTTATGCTCAAAGGTCCAACACTACAAGCTGTTGAAAACAATCCACTAGTGAACCAACATTTGAAAATACCCGACGAAAATATTTGGTATGCAGAAGACGTCACTGGTCTATTCATCGGAATGATACCTTCAATGCTAAGTGGTTGATTTGTCATGAATCGAGCAAAACAATTTGTCTAAACTAACGACTGAACTCTCTTATTCTATAAGACTATTAACAACATTCTAATTTTTTGACTTACTTAGTTACAATAAATGATCCTACGATATAGATACATGAATTATATTTTGAATGCGAGTGTCTCGGGTGTGTGCGTGTCGGGTAGTGTGAGTGTAGTTATTCTCTTTAGTCACGCCCACTCGCACACCCACACCCACACCCTGAATTACTTCTGATGATTTTTAAGCACCTGAACAATGTTGAATTACTCTATTCTTTTATGGATATCAACACACGATTAGATAGAATTATATCTGATCCAGTCTTTACTAGAAATTTAACATTATTAAGATATTTTTCTAATCGTTTTATTTGTCCATTGGTTGACACAGTACTTGATCGATTTTGTTCACAAACATTACTTCAAATACATTATAAAATAGATTGGCTTAATCTTGAATCATTATCTATGGAACGTATTCTTCTTGCTGCTGCTGATTATCCTAATTTACATAATCTTGGTCTTTACAATGTTGACAAGAAGACTGCTGAAAGTGTTTTCGCAGGTAAGATATAGCGTTTCGATTGTTTTTAATCGTGAAAGCGTAAGAAGTAAATATGATTATTTTGATTTAATTCATATATTTAAGGAAATAATGACATATATTGAACTAAATGATAAGAAGAAAGCTTCATAAACAGTGACAGAGAAAAAGCAAAGAAAATATCGAAAATGTACATGAACACTCTTAAAATAAACAATATACAAATTATAATTTCAGTCATTTGTAATTTAAGTTCTTTCAACATGTTTTCATGATGTCAGACGTAATCTAGAAAATTTTTTTTTATAAAGCTCATGTATTGTTCGAAGGAAAATAGTGAGTGTAAGGTTTTATTCGAGGTTTTGCGCCTCTCCCACCACTCATCACCCCTGATGGGATAAGTCTGTAAGGTAAAAACTAAATTTCTCCCAACGATTGGGGAGGGGCTCGTAGGGCAATGGATAGGTTGTTATAGCAATGATCAGTTGGTACGAGACTCGTTGGGTCTAGCTCTTATCAATGGACGGGGGTATTAACGGAGTAAAAATGTACGTTTTTGCACTAGTAGGGGATTGGGCAGATTAAAAGACAATGGATGCATTTTTATTATAGCAGGGCAACTAAATTTCACAACAAAACAATATATATCAATGTCCGACACGGTTCGGGTTGGGTTTTCGAAAAACATCTTTGAACTTCGGAATGGATCTGCAGTCTGAATATTTGCAGATATAAAAGGCACTTGGAATGTCTTTTTTCAGTTCAAAGTTCCATAAGAGAGCTTTAACAAGCTTAGTAGAAGAGGAAGTTTTGTATCGCACGATCTTTTCTTCTACTTGACCGACTTTTTAATCACTTTGAACAATGATGCAAAGCAAGTACACTGTATATTCAATAGTGGTACAAGAGGCGCAGGTTGCGTACATAAGAATAGAAAGAAACGCTAGAAAACACTCTGTCATATACCCGTGTTGTCCTAACTGCGTAATATCGACGAGATATCAATGACATACCCTTTGTTTACAACTACAAAAAAAAAGGATTAGTAAGTTGATTTTTCTCCAGAGAAATAGACAGTTGGTCGACAACAGAATCGGTTCGGTTCAGGTAGCGTCAGGTCACGAAAAAAAATAGTTGTCCTCGGGGCGGATTGGGTTAAAAAAAAGAGTTCACCCATGTCAGACACTGATATATATATATTAAATTAGTTTTTAGGTTATTTGACTTATCTGATTCCGCATCGTGATCATTAAAAGTTAATCGAAAGAGAATCATAGAAATATCTGAAATAATAAGTCAAATCAATAAATAATATATTTTGCATGTATGTTTAGATGGATCTCCTTTATTCCATATATTCAACAAAAAAATTCAATCACTTGTTATTACAATGATTGATAATGAAACGCAAATATCAGAAAGTGATTTTTGTAACATCGATCTTTACCATTGTTGTAACTGTGTTTAGCAATCTACTTTATTTAAATTGCCATCCATTTACGGAATCGCATTTGCAACGATTATCGTTTGATGAGAAAACTCGAACATTTTTCTCTTCAACTTTGCTGGAGTTGCATATCAATGTTGACAGTTTAAACGATTGTCTTTATTCGCTCGATAGTCATTTAAGTTAACTTCGAACATTTTATGTTGATATTAAGTTTTTTACTCCGTCATCAGAAATGATCAACGACAAGGTAGGTCAATTTAGAAGATCTTACATTTTTATTGCACATTATTCTTTTTTTTAGAAACTATTGCCTAATATGAGATGTTTTTCGTTGATGGGTAAATCAGAAATACTTTTTTATAATGAATCAATCGTAGAACTTCGTCAGCGAATGACGAACCTGGAAAAACTTGCTTTATATATTTCTGTTGAACAAAGAACATTTATAGATGGAAACAATTTGAAAAACAATATTATTAATCATGTACCAAAATTGAACAAATTCATCTTTAATATTCGTTCATTTATTCATACTTTTGATCAAAGTCATTTACTATCAAGTGAAGAAATACAGCAGACATTGACATATCTTGGAGACAGCCAAGTTATTTATTATGTTGATTATTTTTCTACCGAAAGACCTGCTCAATGTCATTTCTATTGATATCCATACACATTGAGATATTATCATAATATTACAAATAGCTTTTCAGGTGGATTATTCAAATGTGTTTATGAAGTATCATTATTTGATGATCGTCCTTTCGAACATGAATTTTTTGTTCGAATTGCTCAAGCATTTCCACTGTTGAAAAAATTATCTATGATTAATCGAACACCGCAAAATCAAAGAACAAAGAATAATAATGAATATTTATCAATCATCGAATATCTTCATCTAATTGAATTAGATTTTCTCGATGTTAATGATGATTACCTCGAATAGTTCCTGGTTAACACTAAAACGTTCTTACTTAATAATGTTTACCTTTATGCTAATTATGAATCTTTGAAAACAGTGACAAACTATTTTAGAAGAGTTGTAACCCGAGTCAATTCTGCCAACATAAATTCTTTGCATACTGGTGGTCAATTTTAATTATCGAAACGTTTAACAAAAATATTTTTCTCATGCAAAAATATCGTGTTGGTGTAATTTTTGAAATAAAATAGTATAGAAGGTAGAAATATATTTTGAATAGTACATTCAACTAAATAAAAAGAGAGCCGAAATTTGTATTTGTATTTTCATTCTAAGACAACTTTTAAAAATACTGCAAAAAAAAGTTGTCGATGAAGAAATAAAAATTTTTAGTTGGGCCAATCGCTATCGATTCAAGTTACTGATTATCGAACAAACTGAAATATGTTTTTGTAGTGAAATAGTTGATACAAGGCTAATAAGAGAATGCGAACTTCATTTTGTGAAATATGACCTAAAAGGAGTGTTGAAGGTATATAGAGTAGAAATTTGGACCCCCACAGACCGTGACAGACAGCTTCAAGGAACTGCCGAAGATCATGTATAACTAATATCTGATTAGAATATATATGGAGTATTTTCTTGTTGAAGTTGCATACTATAAAGCAAGCAATGATGAAGAAATATGCCCAAATATCAGTTTTTAGAGGATTAGCAACAACAAGATCGTCATGTTTCACATTTTAATTCTGCAGGGATTGCACTAACCACTTTTACTTAGTGTATGTGTTAATTGTATTTTTCGTGATTTAAGTACAACTAATAAATCATATATTTGAATTTTACCAACACAATACAAAAAAAATCTTCACTAATAAACAACAGGATAAAGGGTGTGGGTGTTCATGTTTAACGAATATATCCATATCCATATTCACACCTTTTTTATTCTTTATGAATTCTTCATATTCAATCTACAAGAAATATTAAAGTTGATTTTCATTAACAGTTTCGAAAAACAAAGCAAAAAATGTGTTTGTACGTTATTAAATAAATTACGGTTACTCATGTGAATCATTTTTTTTTAAATATTTTTTGCATGAAATGAAAAGCACACATATCATCAGCGTATTCAATATTGTCTTGATGAACTAGATAGTAAAGTCAGGATAATCGTGAGTAAATTCTTTTTCGTCATTGAGTGTTAAGAATCAGCAGCAAAGAAAATAATTTAAACTAATTTGAAAACTTCAATGTCAGATGCGGTAAAATTTCGGGTTCCAGTAAATGTATTATTGCCTTTGCTAGTTGTGTCGAGGTATGAATATGGAAAACTCACGTAGTTATTATTCTTCGCATCGCTACCATTTGCTAAGTGTACATCGTGACCGCCTCTAAATGTTGGACCATATTTACTGTGATGACTAACTGCATATTCTGTATGAGCAGGATTAAGCAGGTATTTCGTCGGTGGAATATTGTGAGGATTAGCCAAAGTGAAAAAAAATGCTGAGTTATCATTCTTATATGAAATGTCAGATGTTCATGGAATAGCTGTATAGCCTCCAAAAAGATAGTTGTCTTTTGACTTAATAATTATCATTGTTGGTCCTTGATTATTACAACGTGAATGAAATGCATTGGCATCAAATTCACCATGTGATGCTTTGTAAATCAATTCTCATCGTTGATAAATCTCACCATAAAATTTATTCAGTTTTTTCTGATGACCTAGTTCAAGCAATGATCCATTAGGAAAATAAACGACACTTAATTTATCCAGTAGACTATGCAAACGACAATATTCAGCTTCAATGATAAGACTTTCTACAAGTGATTTATTGTTCATCACATAATCGGGAACGATATTTGTACAGTAATATTCAAGAATATGAGTAAAAATTTTATCATTTCGATCGATGAATATACTATTATCATCGCGATCTCCTTCGATTTGCCATTGTTCAGAGAAAAGCACGGTGAAGAACGTATTTTTTACACGTGCCAATGTCTCAACATTTGTGGTATATTTCTCACCTCCTATATTGAGAATGATCATATCTTTAACTGATGTTTTTGCTAATTTACCTTTAAAATCTTTCCGCTCTTGTTCTTCATATGATGCATTAAGTAATTTATTCTCTAAAATTTTATTCCTTCCTGTTGTTTCATGACATAATTACTTAGTTGATTTAATACAATCACTGCATTCATATAACTATGAAATAATTTCGTCGCGTAATTTATTAAAACGAGTTTCGAGTTGATGGGCATGGTCTGAAAGAGCATTTGAATTGGAATCCATTTGTTTTTTTTTATCGCAGTGACTACTTGTACAGTGTTAGTTTTTAAGACCAGCAAAAAAAAGAAATGATCTTTGCTGTTTCTTGATGTTTGCAATGCATAGGTTAGACACGACAAATAAGCCCAATTGAGAGGGGAGAAAAATTCTACTAAAATTGTTGCTTCTGCTTTATTTTTCTGCATTGTTGTAATTGCTTCTAAAGCCATCTGCAACTCTTACTTTTGTCACAGCTTTTCGAAATGCCACAAAATATAAAAAACAGCGATTTCGAATTTGTTCGTTTCGTTAATGAAGATAAAAAACAAGTGCTTCGAAAGACGTTTGCAAAACTATGACTTTGAAGTGCTTTCAGACTCAATAGTCTTTATGATGGCATAGTTTGGATTATTATTTAAACAAGACAAAATCATCTACAAACATTACAGTTAATCAATTGAGTTCACTGAATATACTTAAAAGAAAAATAGAAGAAGCATGAGGGCGTCGGTGTGGAGTTTGGGTATTGATGTCGATGTCTGTTTGGCTATCATTGTTAGATAAGAAAAGTGATAACTAAAAGAAATTCACCCATACGAACACTAACCAGGGATGGGTGAGTCCGAGTCAAAACTCGGACTCGAGTCGACTCGAGTCGCATTTTTTTGATGACTCTGACTTGATTCGAACTCGAAGATTGGGAGACGTTGACTCGACTGTTTGACTCGAGTCTTTCACTCAAGAAAGTTTTCCTTTACTCTCACAAAAAAAATACAAATTTATAAAATTAAATTATCATTTATTTCATAACTTTCGTTCTAATTGAATATATTGCATAAAAATAATTTTTCAAGAGCTTTTCGTACCTATGTATTCATATGGTCATTAATAATAGTCCTGCTAATTAGAATCATACGTGCTTCTGCTATATCGGCTATAGTTGAACGTGTGTTTTCTCAAAGCGGTCTTTTAATGAGATCACAGCGTTCAAGTTTTTTATCAAGTAGTATTTGTATTTTTACACATCCAGGCAGAGTGATTCGACTGATGGATTCCATCGAATCCTATCGAGAAAACCATTGAATTTTGTCGGATCCGAGAGGAATCCGTTGAAAGTTGTCGGATGACCGCGATTGCTGTCTGAACACCTGCATTCCGATACTTTCCGACATTCGACAACTTCCCATAACTTTCAACAGGATCGCGTAGATCAGCGTCGACCTGAGTATCTTTGAAATGCAATAAGGCAATAATTTAAATGTTAATAAATATTTCTTGCTTGTAAATAGTTTCCAGTTTAGATTTTTGTTATGAAAAATGACAATTTTGTTACTGTGATATAGAACTGTATAAAAGAGAAGAGTTGATTTTACTATTCTTATTTTGTTGATAAATCTAGAGTACTTGTGCCGTTTTATTTTATGCGTGACTGTTCTTATTTTTCGCGAATAAAAACTAGGGAGTGGATATCGTTTAATGAAAAACTAGTTGTTAACGTTTTTTTATGGAAATTAACAGAAAACGCAAAAATGGCGAAAATAAATTGACTCGACTCGACTCGACTTGACTTGACTTTACACTGTTATGAAATGACTCGGACTCGACTCGACTCGAAAAATACCTTGACTCGCCCATCCCTGACACCAACGCCTACTCACACCCAGACCCATATCTAACATCTGTTGAACTGTTTCTTTTGCCAGAAAAAGTGATTCTTTGGAACAGCAGAGGTTCATTCAATTGATTGCTTTGTTGAACTGTGAGAAATCCAAGCAGAATCATTCCATTCCAAATAATTAAACCTGAAGCTGTCTTTGAAAAATGTCTCTTTTTCAAGTCAGAAATCTAACAATAGATATACAGCTGACGCAATACGCAGTTAACCTCTTCACCATTAATTTTGTTTTGAAACTACATAATAAACTTTTCACACACTAACATTTAGAAGAAATTCAAAGATATTTAAGGATAATACAAAACTTTTGCGGATAAATATGTTTTTTCATTCTGTATACATTGATTAGTAGTAATAGTATTATAATATTACACAAAAAAAGTAATTCTATTGCAATAGATCCGAAAGTGAAAGTCTTGTCTACAATGCTCCAAGTATATTTGTAGTCAAAATTGTTGAGAGAGCTTTATTAGTTTATACATATATAACCTACTATGTGTTATTATCTATTACTATAGCCTAGAGAAACAATAAAAAACAAAATAAAAGTGGTACAACTAGTTAAGAAACAACAGTTAACTTAAGAATGATATACAGAACAGAAATTTACATTGAACATGATAAATGTTATACTTGACAGAGAGGACCATAATCGATATGAAACATTAGAACCGGTAGAGTGAGCTCCAATCAGTGGTAAATGTTAGATTCGATACAGAGCGTGCATAGACAACAGAGTTAAGGAGTTGTAGTATTCATTTTTTCCACTAACGAGGGAACCTCCCCAAGTGATTTTCTCGGTTTGGGCTCATATTTTGCCTGTAGGTAGGACTCATAGCGTAGGTAAGAGCCCTAAAAT